AGGGCGAGAGAGCATGTCCTTTAGTGAGGGAGGGATAGGTCGGGATTAATATAAATTTTGATAAAGACAATTATAGTAGAATTGATGATTCCTTCGATATCCCAAGTCTATTTCACCTGAAAAGACCAAAAACCTTCATTGGTGCATTCACTGCTAGCTGCCTGTAGGAGGATTATGTTGAGGAGATGAGACATATAAAAAGAAACCTGAGCTTCTTCCGGAGTAAAAAATTAGAGGGTCCCTTACCAGGTAAGAGCCTGTGAAGAATAATGGGTCATCAGGTCCTGGATGGTGCCGCTGAATCTTCTTCGGGGATGGTGGGGAGACATTTGGTGAGCCTGAGAGAGGTAGGTATTGCAGTGAAAATGGGAGGGAATGTTAGAATGTGCTGTTATCCAAGGGAAAAGAGAAAGGGAAGGAGCAGTGGAAGCCAGCGACCTGGATATGAGGCTGGAGAAAAGGCAGGGAGGGAGGTATCCAAGGGAAAAGAGAAAGGGAAGGAGCAGTGGAAGCCAGCGACCTGGATATGAGGCTGGAGAAAAGGCAGGGGGAGGGAGGGAGCAGGCTGCGCAGCCTGTTCCCAGGCCTCTAGCCGCTTGGATTTTAAAGTTGCTGCATTTTTTCCTAGAGATAATGATCTCAGTTTTTGATAATAGCCGGATTGTTGAATAAACTTGTGCATTCAAGGAAGTTTCCTTTGGGAAGGGTGGAGTGGGGGGGGGGCAGGGTGAGAAGGCGCCGAGGTCAGAGGGCACGCATGAGCTCTACTTCCTTCTGGAATCTCATGGCCTCCAGGACACGACTTTTCCTTGGCTCTCCTCTCACCTCGCTGCTCTCCTTCAGCGTCTTCACTGGTTGCTCCTCATATTCTTTACCATGAAAGGTTGAGGTGTTCCAGGACCCAGGTCCTTGCCTCTCTTTTCTTCTTTACCTAAACTCACCCTTAAGTGAGTGAGCGTGCAACTCCTCACTTTAAATACCTCCATACACAGGTAACTGCCAAATATTGTCTCCAGGATGAACATTTTTACTGAACTCCAGCACTGTGTGTGCAATTCCCCCCCTCCCCACTAGAATATACAGTAGGCATCTCAAACTTAACATGACCAAAATTCAACTCTTCATTTCATGCCCCTGCCTCCAAATTATTCTTCCACCAATCTCTCCCATCACAATGGATGGCAACTCCATTTTACTAATTAGTTGCTCAAACCATTAATCGTGGTTATCCTTGACTATTCTTCTCACATCTCACATTGAATATAGTTCATATGTGGGCCGTTCTGCAAAATAGATCTAGAATCAAACTATTTCTCAACGATTCCAACATATTCTCATGAGTCTTTTTTTTTTGTAGTCTATTTTACTCATAGCATCTAGAATGACCATTTTAAAATAAATAATTCAGATCATGTTATTCTGCTTATAATCTTCCAATTTTCCCCCAGCTTATCCTATCTAATAAAAGAGAAACATGGTAATTAGCAGTAACTTCGCTACCCTTCCCATTGGCTAATCAGCAAGATATGCAAATTAACTGCCAACCAAGATGGCGGCCAGCAGCCAGGCAGCTGACGCGAACAGGGGGGCTTGCTTGCTCCAGTGACGGAGGAAGCCAAGGTTCCCCGCCTGCCTTGCCGGCCTCTCAGCTGCACTCTAAGCAACATTGTAAAACATACAGAAGCTAAACAAAACCGGGGGCTTCAGCCAGCAGGACCGCAACATTGTTTCAAATAGAGAAGGGTAAACAAAGGCCAGAAATCTGCTTTCAGCAGCCGAGGTCTCATAGC